CTTCAAAAACTCGCAACTCTCTGTCTGCTCCAGTCCGAGTTTGGACCGTGAAAAAGGCGCATATGGCAGTCACAGATGTTGATGTCGGACAAGACGGGTCCATCATTATCTGTACGGCTTCGGGGTCTGCCTGGACAAAAGAGAAGCGCAGAAAGGCGAAAGACGGAATTTCAAAGGATTATAAATTTGCTCGTGTGCCAGGTCTCTCTCGCGTTGTGGGGGTGTGTAGTAACGCTTATGGGGCTTACGCCGTAGCGCAGCGCGACTGCGATGTGACCAAGGAGCAGATCAATGTCGATCAAAGCACATTGTGGGAAGACGTTCTTCCATTATCGCCCTTCGCGTCGCTAGTATCCACCGTTACTCCGTTAAAGACGGATGACGCCTCAGATGCTCTTTTGGATTTGGGATCCGCCGATGCGATGAAGAGAGTGGCAATGTCGATTTCGGACATTGAATCCTACTTTCAGCCTCTTCGAAACGAGGCACCCGAGGGCACCGTTTTCCTCTTGAGCTCTCTTTCTGACGCACGAATACCAGTTCATGAATTCATTTTGACCGGACGGAGTTCGATTCTCAGGAAGGCCTTCCATGAGTTTCGACAGGCATACTACTTTTCTTTGCCTGATGTTCTGGACATTGAGTATGGGCCGAATGGACAATGCCACGTGCGGTTCAACGGATTGGACTTTTTCACGATCCTCAATCTTGCTTTTTTCTTATATACAGACAACGTGCTGGATGTATGGCACCAGATGAGGACTTCGGCTGCAAATGCCTCAAGATATCGCCAAGTCCGCTCTGAGGTTATGCGGATCGCCACATACCTGGGCCTACCAACCTTGGAACGAGCTGCGCGGCTCATGATAGAGCCTGCGAAGAGTCTGAAAGTTGACATGGCCCATGCCTTTAACGATCCAACTTTTTTCGAGAGCTCTGATGTAACTATCGAGCTCAACGGCGAGATAATGAAGGCTCACAGTCAAGTTCTTTGCCGGAGATGTCCCTTTTTCGACACATTGTTCAACGGCCGCTCTGGCGGAAGATGGCTATCATCGCGCCGTAACGATCCAAATGACAGCATTCGCGTTGATCTCAAACACATAGACCGATCCGTCTTTGAGTTCGTTCTTCGGTATATCTACACGGACGCGGAGGAGCAGCTTTTTGACCAGGTCCGATCGAAAACGTTGGACGGGTTCATCGATCTTGTGCTTGATGTCGCATTCATAGCGAATGAACTGATGATTGACCGATTAGCGCAAGTATGTCAGAAGATGCTAGGCAAATTCGGTATGACATTCTCTTCTGGTTTTCGACGTCGTTTACTGAGATTCTCTAGTAACCACGACCAATGTATGCGGCCTCCTCAATTCGATTTCTCCCTGTGCGGTGAGGGAGTTCAAAGATGCTGCGTTGGAGTATATCTGCCTCAACCTGGAAGATGTGTTGGCGCAAAGGTTGGTTCGCATCCCTACACAGATAGAGGAGATCTTAACGCGCTGTGTAGGTACCTCAGAGACCTTGATGAGAACTTGCTTAACGCCCTTGATACTGTTTGCCATGAAAATCAAATGACAAGCTTCCCAGTATCAAGAGGACGGAATTCTGAAGCTTACGTCTTTGAGAAGTACCCTGAACTCATCGCATTGATACAGACGGATAGACGCCGGATGATTGATTCGATGAGGCTTCAGTCCCGTCTCAACCGTCTCCAAAGCTACGAGGAGAAGCCCCGTCCTGTCACTGATGATAAGGTGTCTTCGTCACCGTCAGTGCAGAAGGGCAAAGCAGCCTTTCTCAAAGAGAACGCGGACATGCCTCGTAGTCCCGTTTTGAAATCCAGACAATCAACCAGTGACTTGATGTTCCAGATGGACGACGACCCCATGTTGTCACCCGCGGAATCAGTGAAAGGAAAGGTGGCAATTCGCAAAGCCAGAGCGTCGGAGCCGTCACTAGATTTTCCAGCTTTGGGCACAAGCCTCGGTGACAAGCAATCGTTCAACAACGATTCGAATGTCCTGCGAGAATCGATGCAGTCGCCTCAAGACAATGCACTTCCCGAGTCGCCATCAGAATTCAGAGTAGCAGTACTTGAACAGAAGAAGAATGGTTATTCCACCTCCAGTCCATTCCAAGCACCGTGGGCTTCGTCGGCCATCTCGACTCCGAAGAAAGATTTGAAGGATATTATGTTCGAAACCTCGGAGAAAAGGGTGTCCAATCTAAGCCTTGGAATGTCCGCTCGCCGTGAAAACAGCAACAATTTTACCCCCAAGCTTTCTCAGAAGGAAAGGAAGAAGATTCAACAGCAGCAATTGCAGGAGAAGCTTGCGGCTCAGGAAAAAGCGAAGGAGGCACCACAGAATCCATGGAAACTCTCCACCCCGGTCAAAACACCGGACAAGCGTGGTGCTCCCCTTGGATCTCATAGAAATGACGGTGAATCTTCTCAACCGTCAAAGTTCGTTCAGAAGCCTTCTATGACTCTCCGTCAAACAGTTGCTGGGACGCCACCACCCAGACCGACACCAAGCACAACACCAGCACCTAGCCAAGGCCGCAGTGTCTCTGGCGGGCCCCAGCCTGTCATGAAGCCTTCGGCACAGGGACCATCCGCAACTGGGCCCTCGACATCTCCCAATGGTCTGGCTAGTGCTTCACCCCCCATTAAATCCATACGCCACATACCACGTCCCGAACCGTACCAAACAAGTTTCCATTCTCCTTCACCCAACTCGCTGTCCTTGGCTGCGATCTTGATGCAGCAGCAGACCGAAAAGGATGAGCTGCGCGAGGCAGCAACAGCCAAGCATAATCTTCAAGATATTCAACTTGAGCAGGAGTTCCAGGAATGGTGGGACAAGGAGAGCAGGCGTGTTCAAGGGATACCGGAGCCTGATTCAACCACCGCAGCCAATCAAAAGGACAGCGAAGGTAAAAGTGGTCGCGGCGGACGCGGTAGGGGATCAAGCAATCGCAAGAAGCGTGGCAAGGGCCCGGAGGATGCTGCTGGTGCTTCGGGATTAACTCAACAGCTGTCTCAGGCGAAGGGTCAAAACGGGCAGAAGATCTCGGACTCTCGCCGGGACAACCTGCAACCCGAAACGAATGGAAATCATGCGAGCGCTGCTGGCAGCAATTCTCGTCGCGGTGGCAGAGGAGGCCATCGGTGGAAGGGGAAAGAACGTGACCGGACTGTGTCAGGCTAGACCGTCCGGCGTTGATCATCCCTCTCACTTGACATGCTTCTTGTTCCTTAACGACCTTTTCTCTATATACCCGTCAGCACACTCAGGTTGTACACCACTTGTCATTTTCTCACATATCAGAGCGCGGAATGTATACTCGGGCAACAAGCACATTGAATAGATTTGAATATACTGAGTTAGATATATGTTCATCATACAAGATCTTGAACGTTAATAGGGACTTTTGTCAAATTGGTCATAGATTTGAGTGTTGGTAGTAGGTTTCCGTTCATATATTTAAAATGGTAAAAGGCATCAACAAATATCCTCGATGGTCTAACGGTCATGATTTCCGCTTGTCACTCCTAGAGAACGAGCGCGGGAGACCAGGGTTCGACTCCCTGTCGGGGAGATCTTTTTTTTGTTTTCAACTTTTCAAGTTGCTTACTACCTACCATTCTCTCAGTCCACTTTTTTAGACCCTTAGTGAAAATTTTCAAAAAAAAAAAAAAAAAGGTGATCGTTAGGGATACACCCCCCCAAATTAGGGACACACACCCCTGCTGTAATTAGTTAGAATTGATATCATGTGACCCGCACCGGTTGCCGCAATCCTAAGTTTTTAATTTACCATACAAAAATAAGAGACGGTCTGCAAGCTGCTAATAAGCAACACTGCGGCCAAAACCACGGCCACCTCGCTGGAGCCCTTGCTGAGGCTGATTATCTATGTAATAAAGCCATCTTACGCAGTAATTTTTTTGATGTGTTAACCTTTACTATATGTAAATATCCATGAAGCTTTTGCGTCACTATCTGGCGATACCCTAGCGTTATGCCCTAGCCCTTATTAAAGCCCTGGTGCTAGAACATTTTTAGCTGTCATGTGATGTTGATTCTAACTAATTACAGTAGGGGGGGTGTGTCCCTAAGTTAGAGGGGTGTCTCCCTAAGTTGGGGGGGTGTGTCCCTAACGATTTCCAAAAAAAAATCCGGGGCTGTAATAGTCAGCTAATTTGATTTTTCAAATCCGAACAAAACAAAAAGATTTTGCCGTCAGCGATAGGACTCGAACCTATGCGGCCGAAGCCAAGTGATTTCTAATCACTCCCCTTAACCACTCGGGCACACTGACTAATCTGCTTGGAATGGGGCTATTCATTATATATCCACTCCGCTTTTTCCAGTGGAGTCTTGGAGATGCTGGTAATGGCATTATGAGCTAATGTAGTCGAGCAGCATCACATTTCTCGCTGCATGTCTTTCTTTTGGTTGTTTGCTAGACAGCTCCCTCTCATCCTGGGACGGCCATTTTAATCACAGAAAGTGCCATTAGCAGCTTAGTCATTTGCCAATCAAGCACGCTGCTTTCATCTCCACGAAAGGCTTTGCAAGGTTGAGAGCAATAGCATGAGTGAATTTCATCATTATCGGGAATATTGTTAATTGTGGATTTGATTTTGTTTAGTCTGGTTCATTACACTATTCATTATTGAGGATGAAGAAATCTATCCACGTCTCACAAGGACCCATGGTGAAAAAAGCTCAATACAGGAAGGACCATGGGGAAGGCAGTCGCAGGGAAGAGATAAGGAAACATGAAGAAATACATAAATGCTATTTCAACCATTGGCGCAGTAGGATATCCCGAATTTGGTAATCAATGCTCGTAAGCTAAAGCTATAAGCGATGCACCGGACGCTGTTAGTGCTAGAATGGGAGTCAAATGAAGATGAATGAATAGAAGACAGAGGTATGAAAGGAGAAAAGGGGTAAAAGGCATTGCCGGGTGAAAAGTAGTGTCATCTAGCCAGAAGTAGCTACCTCGCGGCTCTCCCACATGCGGCGAATCATCATATCTGATTCACTGGTGAAATAGCTGTCGCCAAAGTCCTCGTCTGTGGCGTTGGTCCCGTGAGCGGCTTCGTCGGACGTCGGAAGGATGCGCTGGGATGGATGTTGGGATTTGTTGGAGTCACTTGGGTCGTCGGCATCTTCGAGGTATGTCTGCGACACAGATTTCTTCAAGTCCGAGGACTTTCGGCTGATGAGTTGTCTTGGCTCGGGGCTTGGCGTGTCTCTTTGCTGCTTTCCAACTTGTTGTAGTTGTGTGAGTGCAGGTGCAGACTTGATTGGTTTGCCGAGTGACGATGTAAGCTCGAAATTGGAGGTTACAGGAGGCTTGGAGTCATCAAGGATAGCGGCCAAGCGGGCGAAACTGTCGCTTGTCGGAGACTGGAATCTTCGGACGACGGTAAGTTCTAGTGCGATTTTCTCGTATGCTTTCCGGATGTGCTTGGCTTCGGTTTCTCCGCCGGTTCGGGAGGAGCCGTTGACGAGCGCTCTGCTGGCCTCGTAGACACCTGACCCTGCACGGCCATGCGATGCAGCCATAAAAGCCGTGTCCATTGCCGAAGGAGAGACTGTTGTGGATATGCCATGGCTGTCGGGAGGAGAAGTATTCAAAGCAGCAGTTCGTTGCAGCCAAAGCTTCTGCTGAGTCCGAGAAGGGGGCTCAGTGCCTGGTGGTCGCGAAGGGGGCGACGCTTTGTGCTTTCTTGTCCCGCGGTTCGGAGAGGGTGGGGTCTGCGGATGATAATGTGGAAGAAACGATGATGGTGTATTTGGGTCCGAATCCGTGCGCGATGATGCGTGGGCACCGGTTTTATTGTTGATGATGAACCTGGAAACACCCCCTTCCATAGACGAGGACGTCGCGTTCGTCTGATTCCCCGGAGTATTCGCCAGCGTAGTGGTTGACGAGGATAGAGGGCGTCGTAAGCCCTCGGGACCGGCGAGATTGGTCAAGGAAGCATTCCGAGATATTGTGTCAACGGGAGCTGGCTTCACTGTTGCAGAAATAGAAGACATTGCGGGAGGTGCTCTAGCAGAATGCGAAGGGCTTAGCAAACGGGCTGCGATGTCGCTGTGGTCAGGCAAACGGGCAATCTCTTCCTTCTGCTCCTCGGGCTCCGAGGCAGGCTGTTCCTGCTGTTGATCGCTCTCGTCAGGAGAGTGGTCGTCACGCGAGAAGCTCCTATAGGCTGATTCCGGCAAGCTACTCGCGGCACGAGGGACCTGAGGATACGGGCGCTTGACAAAGGTGAGGGGGTCCACCAGTACGGCAGTATTCTCCACGCTATCTTTGGATTGAGCAACTGAGCTGCGTCTCGTGCTCTCAGGCGACTGAGTCGTATCTTCCCACTCGCCCTCGTCGTCTTCGTTGTCTGAAACTCCCAATTCAAAGCCAACGGTCTTCTTCTTCCCAGAACTGGTAGCTGGGCGATCGGTTACCAACGCTTTCTTTGCCAAAACACCAGAGGAATTGCGTCGAGGGTTTCGCAGAGCAGGGCTCGAGTTGTTTCTTTTAATTGACGACGTCGCGGTCTGGCCGGCGTCCAACCCACAGTCCCAACGCACGTGGTGACCACCGCGTGGACTTGCCGCCGGTGTCGCTGGTGCGGACTTCTTCCGTTGATGATGACGAATAGTTGCTTCGGTTGTAATATGTCCAGCAGAAGTATGTCGCTGGAGCTTGTTTAAGTTCTTTCCGAAAGATGGGTTGCGACCGTGACTGCGATGACCGCCACCGACGACGTGGGCTCGGGGACGGTGGGCAGGCGCTTTCTGGGGATGGGTATCTGACGAATCTGACGAGGTACGCGTGACGACAGCGTGAGACGAAAGAGCACGGCGGGCCAGGCCCGGGCGCTTAACAGGGGAGGAGGTGTTGGAGGTCGGCATGGCGGGCAGCAAGGCCAGCGCTGGCTGGGCAGGCAAGGGCTGGCTTGCACAGATGGAACGGATGCAGAGAGGAGACTGGGAAGGTTTGCCCACAAACAGAGAAATGATTGAGACAGAAGCTGTTTAAGTGAGTGAAGGAAAAGAAAAGGCTTGGGAGTGCAGTCGTTGGGGGAGACCAGGTGTGCCACAAGTGTTCTTGAGGCAGTGAGGCAAGTCGTAACTGAGTGGGCCTGAGGCAGTTAGGCTAGCTTTACCCTCGACACGCACGTACCACCTGGATAGTCTACAGTTCTACTCCGTACGTCAAAAGTTTCTGTACCCCCAACTAAATCAAGAATTATATACCTTATTGAATAATAATCCCACTAGGCTAAAAAGGTGTCCGGACGATGTACTCGTCAGTCTAGGGTTTCATATCCATAGTCATAGTGGTATCTTATTCCAACATACCTCTTGTAATCTGCTCAAGAATAACCTCTTCAACCACTCCATCCACACACTCATAAAATTAAACAAGAACAGTCCCTAATGGACACATACTAATGACAGAAGGCTCTGGAGATCCGTACTGCCATCTAATGCCAGGTAGCGAATTTCATCCCACTCATGCAGAAGTTCATCAATCTGCTCACCCTGCCCGGAGGCATAAGCATGGGAAATAAGAGATAGAGAGTTTCCCAGCACCTTCCCTAAAGTACTTGTTTAGAAAGTCCTTACTATTGGGGATAGAAACTAACCTGTTCATCATTTCCCCATAAAAATGGGATGATGTGGGCTAGCTCGGTTCCCCCGATGTGTTCACCAGGGGGGCATCTCTGCTCAGCTTTCTCATCCCATATACCAGTAACCATGCACCGGTAGCCATCCCGTTCAAGGCATAGCTTCTTCAGGGGGCTTTGATCATTCCGCGAGCTCGACTCAGTCATTTCAGACGCGATGTCATCTCTGGGGATATCTAAGTCTGACAAGGGTGTCTTCCCGCCTTGTGCCTTCACTGTTAGATAGAAAGAAATATTAGCCACAATATGGTAGGCACGAGGAAAGGAACATTATATAGGATAAGATAGAACAAAGACACATACTTGGGATTAGGAACAACCTCGTTCGCTTCGGCCTCTTCGAGAGCAGCGATCTGCTTATCGATGAGCCCCATGAACTTGGTTAGGTCCCGACGAGCCACTCGAAGAGATGGCAGATGCTCAAAGGTATCGATATTCAAAGGCCAGCCCAACATGTCGCCATCGAACGGATTACGCGTCACTTTCTTCGATGGGGTCGACCGGGTCGAAGTCGACATACGCTTTTTGCCTTTGCTTATAGAAAGAGGCTCAGGCGAAGGCATTGCGGTTTCGGCAGGGGGGCCAGTTCATAGAGTTGGTGATCTTCTAGTAAGAATTTTGACGGTATAATCTTTTGAATCTCGAGGCGTATATCTTGACAACTTCTGTCTGGATGTACCTTCATCGGCACCAGGATCTCCCAGGTCTGGTCACTCTGAAAGTGCCCTCAAAGTAGAAACAATGGGGTCATCCGACCTTTCCATTTGGAAAGCCATCGACGACTCCTCTTTGGGCGTGGTTTCCCTTTAAACAGCCTTTTCCATTTTGAAAGACATGTACAAGTGCTGCCAGCCTTTGCAGAGTTATGTTTTCCAGGATTTACAGCTTGTCAGCCGACAAACACCTCTAATAGAAAGCGAAGTTCATCAGGGAGACTGGCACTTGTGTATCAGCATCAACATAGAAACCAGAGACAAATAAAGAGCAAGCAATATTCCAAATATCAACGCATAATCATAGGGAGCAGTGTCAGGTTAGAAGTAATGATTTTATTCTCACTTATTAGATTGGGGAGCAGACTGTACAGGTCTGCCCACAACCAGAGAAATAATAATAATGTTAAGAAGGAAGCTGTTTTAGTGAATAAAAAATCTTGGGAGCTTGTTTAGATGAGATGGAGTGAATATGAGGAGCCTAGGTGCCATAATTAGTGAATGGGGAGACCAGGTGTGCGTGTACCTGACTGCCTAGCTAGCCAGACTTAATGGGCCTTAGGCAGTTAGGCTAGCTTACCCCAGACCTGCATATGCCACCTACTGACTTAGCGCAGCCGTCAATACAGTTCTACATCAAAAGTTTCTGTAGCCCCCACCAAAATCGAAAATATATATTTCTCTCGAGAATATTAATTCTTCAACCACTCCATCCACCTACTCTTAAAATTATATGTAAAGCTACCTATGATTCTATAGAAAATGACTAGAGAATTCAAAAAACATAGTATTTCTACCTAATATTTGGTATACCAACCATTAGCCTCAATAACAGCCTTCACCCTCCGCGGCATGGATGAAATCAACCCATCAAAATACTCCTGGCCCAACGCCTCCCACGCACGCTCGATAAGACTATTAAAGTGATCTTTTACCTCTTCAATCGATCCATGATAGTTCTCTATATCTGGATCTAGCCGGTAGATCATCTCTTTGAGCCTAGCCCAGGCGTGTGCGATCGGCTTGAGATCAGGCGAATATGGCGGCCAATCGATGGTAGAAATACCATTATCCTCGAACCATTTCATGACTATCCGAGCCCTATGGATAGGGGCATTATCTTGCATGAAATGTACCTAAGGACTTGCCGAAGAACCAACTAATGAAGATCCTTGCTTTCCATCTGTAGGTCAAATGGCACCCAAGAAGCATGAAAGGAAAACTTCATATCAATTAGAGAAATATGTTTTGCCGTTCTACGTTTTTGGATAATACGAGGAAAACCAACAGGTTAAGAATTTAACTCTATGAGAGATGACAGACAAAATAAAGCAACAACACGACTAAAACAAAAGAACAATTGGAATCCAGCCGTAGCGTTCCCGAGTATCATTTACTCTCTTGTACTTCTGAGAATATGACACTGCAGACTCTGCCGACAAAGCCCCCAAGACCTAAAGCTGGCGGGGAGCCCTGCGCAGGAGACAACGCTGTAGAAGTGCCAGGGACGACAAGCACACGAGAGCCGGCTTCTACCCATTCAACCGACGTGACAAAGGAGAATGTGATTTTGACATCTCCATGACTTGTATTCTTGGCCGAATTGACCACTTTATTCACTTCTGATGCGTGGCTCTTCCCACGATCAACAGCATCGTTGTCAAAGTTGAAGAATTCCGGTTCCGTAGGCGATAGGGGAGAAGAGATAATCTCGTCCTCCGCAAGAGTAACACAGGTTACCTTCACCGTAGCGCGAATATTGGAAACATAGGCAATAGCGTTGCCACCTAGCAGTAGAGGCGGAGACATGGACGATGCGAACTCGCTGGCGGGGAAGCTAGCAACAAATCCAGTGTGGAAAAGCGAGGGCTTTGCGGGCAAGCCGCTGGGCGCAAAGTCGGCTAGGATGGCCCCTTTTCGTACCTTTCCCAAACGCGGAGGTTGCTCGTTTTGAGCAGGAAGGGGCTCAATACCGATTGTGCCGACTTGATCTTGAATGAGAGTTCGCACCGGCAACCGAAGGTTCCGAACACTGACGACTCGTACACGTTGCCAGATTGCTTGAGCGGGGAAAGTAGCTTTTCCGGACAAGAATCCCTGTGAAAAAGAAGTAGAAAATTCCTCAGACGGCGGTCTGCTTCGCCCCGGTTGACTTCTTGGGGCTGACAAGAGATTCTCAGGCTCGGCCTGTGGATTGACCAGTAGCGGCCCAACCAAGAGTTCGTCTCCAACCGAGATAGATCCGTAACGAACCAATCCGCATAGAACAACGCCTTGATTCTCCCTTGAGTTCTGCTCCATCGACGTAGAGTACACTTTGGATGGGGGAATGGTAAACACTTCGTCGATGTCGAATAAATTTGCGGGATTATGCGTATCTGACGGTGTATCACCGAGGAAGATGCTCCTTAAGGACGGCCTTTGAGGGATAGGAAGATATCGGAGAAAAGCATGCAGCTTCCCTACGCCTGTACCGCTGACAGCGCTCGTGAGAACGATCGGAACTGTCGATGACCAATCATTATTCGCTGCATCAATGACTTTCTTGACTTCTTCCCCATCAGTCCGCCCGGTGTGTTGAAGATCCACGTCCTGCTCACCGGTAATGGATTGCACAGGCAACATAGCAGGCTTTTTGCCCGCCAGCTTCAGCGCTGACAAGACTTTCGTGAGATTGGCCCTTAAGCCTGCTCGAGATGCAACATCCATCTTGGTGATCACTACCACGCAGGGTATCCCCAACTTGATACAGAGATCCAAGTGTGACAGAGCCAGATTGATTTCTGCCATTTGTTCTGCAGCGCCTCCGACAGGTTCCGGGGCCATTTCTTCGTCACAGTTGGCTGGGATACAGAGCAACACGTAGTGAGGTGCCCAACTGATCAATCCTCTCAAAGTAGATTTGAGGTAGCGTACAGAGCCAGGGAGGTCTGACACAAATGCCAGACGACTGTCCTTCGCAGCGGCATGGATGTCATCCCAAGCTGCAACATTTCCAGACGCATAGTTGATCACATCAACGGAATCGCTAGCTGACTCCGAATAGCCTATAAGTTCCTGCGCAACAGAGCTAGTGATTCCCGACGAGATCTCGTGGCGATGTTTGAGGAGGCTCAGTCGACTTGCCCCTCGCCCATTGTCGAGTATAGATGATGTCAGAGTACCCAGCAGAGATGACTTGCCGGCTGCACTCGGACCAGTAATTGAGATCCGAACCTGTTCGGTAGTGGAATGGTTGTCCTCGCGGATAGATTTGGTTTGGGCACCACGCGAGGGAGTCTGCCCATCAAATTCGTCCCGATGCGATATCAAGCCGTAGTACTCCAAATCCGGACTGACCAAGGCTTCAGCGACCCAAAGGTTTTCTGTGTGGACTTTGCCAGCATCGGCAGCTGCAGCACATGTGTCTTCCGCCCATTCGGCCCATTCACATTTGCCGACGATGACCCTGCGAAGGATCTCGACCTTGCAACCCAAACTGGCCGCCATGACCTGCAGATTGGTCAAGCTCTCGTCCAGCTCATCTTGCGTTAGACCAACAAAGGTCCCATCATCGGCCACGCCGATCTCGTACAAAGCCCCCTGACTCTCCTCCAAGCCAGGAATCAAACGAGCTGGTTTCTGCGGGGTACCAAGCTGAGGGGTTGCTTCCGGAAGAACGGGCAACACAAGGTTGGCAGTTGTAGACGAATGAAACGGCGATGACTGTTGCAGGCGCCACAACAGTTGAGTCGTCAACTGCTGCAGGCGTTGCTGGCGGCTCTGCGTTGAGCGAGCCTGAGCCGATCTCAAGCTCGACTCGTAGCTAGACGGTGTCGGGCCTGAGGTAGACAAGCTTGCACGAGAATGATACGAACCGCCAACGACATGACCAGTGGTCATGGAATTGTAGAGGCGACGGGGCCGCAACAGTAGATGTAGCTTATACTCAGTGGGTCCCTCCTGTGGTTCCGGCTCCAATTTCGTGATCCCGTAGTCAGACAGAAAGTCTGGATCCGCACGGTCCAATTCCGTGCCAGAACGCGTCCGAAACGTCAAGCCTCGATTCCCACTCGCCGTAAGCTGGGGAGTAGACGACCCCGACGTCGACCATGGCGAGGAAACCCTTGGAGGGTCCGGGTCATAGGTGAAAATAGATGCCATAGTTCACACTCTCGGTTTGACTCGCGTTGAGTGAGCAAAACAAGAAAAGAGATAACAATCTCCGGAAGATTTGGCCTCGAACAACAACAAAGAGCTTTATATTCGTATCAGTCGAAGTTGCAGCATGCGGACATTCAAGAGGTTAACTATATGTCGAGGAGCTAAGTATTTTTCACATCTGCCGTAGAATTTCTGTATTAATAAAGTCATCTTGCGAACCCGAGAGTGACGCGATTGAGACACGAAAATTGTAGGCTCAAAACAGCCACGACGATGAAGAGACAGGAGTCCTTCTGGTCAGCAGCAGGGAAGAATCTGAATCAATCGCAATTTGAGAATTAACCTACAAAGGGGACGACATCGTGATGGCACAGAATGAGTCACGAGTGCTTGACATGCCGATAATCAGCCTAGTCATTCCATCCTACTCCATACCCTCTATGACACGACCAGATCAGGTGATTGGTGAGGTAAGCACCACGTGCATCAAGCTTGGCTTCCTGGCGTAAGGACACTTCTACACTTCTACTCAACATGACATTTTCTTGAATTAGATGACACGACAATACTGCTGGTTGTTTTCAGCAACTGTCTTAAGCCAGCCTTAGACCGAGTACTCTTCTTCAATGTGGTGGTGCATGGTCATGGCTATCCCAGTGATAATTTCTCTAAACTCAAGTTGATGAATGATGATCATGAGCGTTCGT